TCACCATCATCATAATCATCATCCCAACTTTCCGCATTTACACGAAGCTTGTTATTATAGTATAATTTTCTTTTCAACGTTCTATAATTAGACACCCATTGTTTTTTCTTTTTCATGTCAACTATTGTCTGCAAATTGAAAAGAAAGAGTTAGATTTTTCAAACGTATTTTACAAACCATTCTTGCGACAGAAGACATTTTTCATCATCAGCGAAAATATTCTTCTTTTTTCTAATTACATATATACTTTATACGATCGTTCGATTCTTTACAAACATTCAGCGATAATAATTGAATGTTTAGTTGCAAACGCAAAAAGCGCAACAGCTGTATGGATATTGGGAGCGTACAGTTGTCTGAATACACCAACTACTCGTGTGTGCTTCTAATTAGCGCGCGTTACACTTATGCTATTATGTGCATACGTAATATTTAATACGCGTGTGGTTACGTGTCTCCAACAATGGAGCTCAGCAAACAGCTTTTCACGCTAGTTTCCTCTCACTCAAGCGCATTAAGCGCACGCGCGTAAATTTCATGTACACTCGATTGTTCGTGTGTTAACACATGACATATGCAACGCGAGGACAAGGCGGAATGTATGCATTTAAATACAGCGTTGACAGTCGCAGCCCGTTCCTATATGACATCAACGAGCACGTCAGAAGTCATACTTAGGTAATATTTAATGGAATCTGAAAAGCAAAGCTCACACTGCAAATCCTAATATGTTAATTTGACTGATTTGACTTGTGTAATTTCCAGAAACCATTTGATCCGTATTACTTTAACACATCAGTTTGTAGTATGTTTATTCTGCATGGATTTTACAAGTAATAATGAGAATACGTCTTGGAAACGTATAAGATAACGCACTTTGTTATTAAATATTTGCAATTTCATAAATACGCGTTTACTCTTTATTATTTACACGTTTCAACAGTTTAACACGTTAAATGACTTTTACACAATTAGGAAATTATAAATTATAAAGCATTTTCATGAAAGTAAATTGCATAAAGAAAGAAGGCAAATATTAATTTGCAAATGTATTTTACTTACATTCGAAATAAGTAATTATTTTCATTAAAATGAGAAGCATGTTATATAAAGTAAAAATCACAAAATTGAAAACAGATGTAAATTACTGCTACACTGCAAATTCAAATACGTTATTTTGGTTGAATCTTTTTTTTGTACGGTTCTTAGTTTTGAGTCACGTAATTTAATATGTTAAATTTAATTGTATTAAATTATAATTTACAAGTCTTAAATATGTCAAATGACATGACTTACAACAGTAAGAAACGTGTAAAAAGAGCTTTAGCTAAATTACACGTTTATACGTTTAAAAATTAATACAATTTTGAAGTATTTTTGGAGTAATTTGCTATAACTTAGACCCACTGTTAAGTAATAACTAATAAAAAATTAAATAAAAGATAGGATGTTAACAATTTTACTTAGTTTATTTTAAATCAATTAACGTTTAATTTACCAGTTATCTTAAAATGTATTAACTTTAATATGTCAACTTATTATGTTTTTTATATAATTTAAAATAGTCCATCAATAGTTAAGTCATTGTGAATTGTAGACAATATAGAATAAGAATAGTGAGAAATAATGACAGAATCTTTTTGTCTCTTTAATCCAGCCAGTGTTCAAATTGCAAAGTACATATTTAAACGTGTAAACTTATACAGATAAAATGTGTAGACAAAATTATACATATATAAATTCGTAAAATTACTCGTTTTTACACGTTCGTGTAAAAATTATACACTTGGATTTGAAGTGTACACACGACGTTACGAATAAAGATCGACCCAATCGAGTACTTAGAGGTTACTCTGCAACGCACGTGACTTATATAAATGTTATTATTCTCTTTGTTTTCATTGAATTATAACAACACCCTTTGCAGTCGTGCAGCCTCAGCAATAGAGCGTTTACCGAGGAAGAAGACGCGACGTTGCGGCGAACGGAGACATGGATAGAGAGAATGAAAAACGTTAATATCGCGGTATAAAGGAGGAGTAATAGACGGAAGTCAGAACGCTCATTTTATATCAGTTGTAATGCACCTTCGCA